ACAGAGAAACTGAGGTAATACTTAGACCTTCGCAATATTGGGAATATCAGGGAAGTTCCAATAGACTGAAAGATATCTAAATATACAAAAATATGAATAGACATGTTTTGTTTTAGTGCAACATTAAAATTCACCCATCCGGAGCTGATTGATGACAGCTGAAGGGCTAGAGAAGAGTTTGCATGATTGCATGACTGATATGAGAGAGGTCGAACTGCACACACACTTAAATATACACACACACTGCCATGTCAGCAGGCTGTCTTTGCATATTTCCCCTCTACATATTCTTGCTTATGCTTCGCTCTTAGCTTATTATTTTGCAGGACCAGAACCAGACATCCACATGCTCACACCCATTTAAATACATAGGAAGAGCTCTTAGTATCATAATGCGAGTGAAAAGTGGAATTACTGCGCTACAGCACATTAAACAACCTTCCTGTGTAAATGCAACTGAATAAACAGTATTTTGAACAGATCTGGGATAATGTTTCTTTAACAAAAAGGTTAAAGTGGAAATAAATTTGAAAAGAAAATGTTCTCGAAATGCTTTTTATCAGTGAGGCATGAAAATAATATATTAAGGTATTTTTTGATTGAGTCAATATAGCCAAAGGGAGGAAAAGCAGGGAGCAATTATGCAAACTAAAACTTTTTCTTGAAGAAATTATGAGTTTCCTCACGACAAACGGTGCTGTCTTCGTGATATTAAATGAGCTTTAAAAAGAGAATGGTATCCTGTTTTTGAGTCAGAATAATAATCCACTTGTTAATGTAAACATAACTGCTAAAGGTTGGCAGGCATTAGTGCTGGCATGACTTCAGTCATCTATTCATCGGACAATAGCTTACAGTCTACGTAAGTTCTGTTCTATCTTTCATCCTAAAACATATTTCCTTACAAATCTCAAACTCCATCAGAGACTTCTGTGGAAGATAGAAAAACAAGTTAAGCACAGCAAGAACCGATTGAAGTTTAGATTACAGTGTGTTTTACGGCAAGTAAGATTAAACTAGGTGTCTGGGAAAAAACAAAAAACAAAAAGGGAAGAAGTTAAAATGTCACTTTTGTTACTGAAAGCTTTCCATGTATATTTTAAATACAATCCAGAAATGTCTCACTTTTGTAATAACATTAAGACCCAAGCATGGTGAAACAGTTAAATAGAAATGTTCAGTGTGGCATAGTGTTAAAAATGTGATTCACACTGATATGTTCTGTATATGTAACAAAATCTGGAATCTGTACACTTTTGTTTTTGAACGGGTTAAACAAAAGAGACAAATGGTGTTTATTAGTGAGCTTTAGAGGTGCTACTAAGACAATGTTATTACCTTTGGACATAGCCAGACTAGCTGTTTCCTCCTGTTTCCAGTCTTTGTGCTAAGCTAAGCTAACTGGACCTCAGGCTACAGCATTATATTCACCGAACAGATAGAAGAAGAGCAAAAAATCAAATAAGTGCATTTCATGTGTCCAACTATCCCTTTAAAATTCACCTGTTTATTCTCTTTTACAATTAGTTGCACAATATAACAGAGAGAGGTCAGGATGTCTCCCACAGGAGCTGAGAGAGATGTGGATTCATCATGGTGCAGCTCAGGCCTCTTGTCACCTTACTGAGGCTTCATATTCTGCAGCTTCATAGACAGCGGTCCCTCTCGGGTGTGGCTGCTGTGTGTTTTACTTTCAGTCCTGTGTACCTCGAACTTTGGGCCCAAAAATGGGTATGTCTATGGCTTCGGGTCAACTCAGGTTCTGGTACAGGTCAGGAAAAAGTGAGCGAGAGAGTAGAATAAATCATTTATTCTGACAGCGTAATTTTAAGTTAGGGGCAGTGTACAGTTTACTAACGGAAGAGGTAGAGGCGTGTCTAGTGTGTTTGTGTGTACTGAAGAAATGTCCAACAAAAAATGTTGTCAGTTAAAAAGACCTACATGTCGAGGTGGTAACGTCTCACACACACAAACACATGCAAGCTGCTGTCCAGATAAAACAACATGATGCACTTATATTCACGTCCAATCCATAAGCCAGAGGTTGGTTGTATTTATGGATCAGAATCTCACATACAGATTAAAGGTAAAACCATACAATAGCTGTTGTTGGTTGTAAACATACTGTATGTACTTTTCTCGCATTCAATGTTTTCTTTGTTTGTTTTCACTTCTGACTTGCTGTCATGTTGTTCTGGAAACCTCGCATACAGTTTCACCGCCTTAGGCAAAGTGCAGGATAAATATGTGTAGCATGTGTTCACACAGGCAAAGGAGCACCCCCCCACATACACACACATACACACAGACAAACACACACCGTACTCCTTTTCAGGTCAGGAACCAGGACCCAAATTGAATGATTTGCTCTGAAACACACATGCAGGCTAACATTAACCTCCTGGTGGTCATGTGAAGATCCAAAACAACAAGTCCATGACCCTGTTAGTGTGTTTGCCTGCTTCTTAACAAACGCTGGAGTATCTGAGAGTTGCAAGTATTGAAACATCCATAGCAACTCTTTATCGTTTCAGGAGTGTTTGCCGATTGCGTAGCAGCAATGCTGAGCAAATTATCTGGCTATTAACAGTGGAAGCTTAGATAAGAGCTATATTTGATAAGATACGGCATTGACTATATACATTAGTCAGTAAGGTGTGCGGCCGATAGGCAGTGGTGATTTTTATGGCATTTTCACAATAGTATATGGAGGAATCAACAAGTGTGAGGTATGTTTCTTTTTTTTTTTTTACCAACATTCTTTTTATTGTTTTCACAACATAACAGCAGAGAAATACAAAGAAATGCAATACCCCCCACCGCCCCACACACCGACCCCTCTCCAGTGATTCCAGAACATATTTCTGCAAATCCTTAGATACTGCAGAAGTGCCAGTTTGTCCGCCGCAGGGCTGCTTCCCATCACATTGACAAATCTTGTTTCTCCCAATACAGAGCATATGAAGGGGTCCCAGATCTGGTGAAAATTATGTTTGTTGATGTTTTATTGTATATGTAATTTTCTCCCAAGGGGAGAGTTGTAGATAGCATCAAGACCAACCAACCCATTGCTTACACTTTGGACTTCTGTGTTTTTCCCCATGAGAGGGGTGAGGTATGTTTCTTAATTATATAAAGATACAAAGTTTGGTAAAACAAAAAAGGTTATTATGTAACTTTTGTGTGCTTATGTAAAAGTCCTGATAATTTCAGACCAAGAATATGTCATATATTCCTAAACCCCCAAAAAACGGAGGAATTTACCAAGCCTACAATTTGAGAACAAAAGCTCTGGTTCTGTGTCAATACAGTTTTAGCATTTAACTTTTTAAAATTAAAACCCCAGTGAAAGAGTTGAAATGCCCGATAGGAAATTTGATGATTAGGGTGGGCATGTTGGAATCTCCAGGCTGTCCCCGTCCTTTTAGCAGAAGATGGTTTTATTTATTCAAAGTTAGCGTCGGGTGAGCAAATATCATAGAAATGCTGTAATCAGGGGGAGATCCCCTCTTTGGTGTGTGTTTCATTTTCCAAGAGCCCTTGGCCGGTATATAGTTTTGGACGCCCTGCTGTCAACAGGAAAGAGCCCAGCAGAGAAAAAAATGAACAAATAGTGTGGCGTGTGATCATCCCCGGGGTTTGGGAAACACTCCCCTGGATCTGTACAAGTACAGGAACTCTTCCTCCCTGTTTCATGAACTGATGAGGCGGGTTGAAAACCAATTATGCCTGTTTTGATTATTCTTCCCCCTGAGGCGAAAGCAGCTCCAGTATCAGAGGTGTGTAGACTGATAGATGGATAAAAAATTCCCGATTGTTAACTATGGTTAACATTCTGCGTGCGGTCTTTGATTGGGAAACTTTTTACTTTTGCCTCCTGCAGTATTGTGTAAACCATGGTACAAAGTTTTTGATTCAGTACTTTTAAAGTCCCCCAAAACTGTTGCCCACTAAATTCAAATTAACCCCGCTTGAGAAACTCCTATGAAAGTCAGCCTACCAATAATAAAGATTTAATGCTGGCTAACAAACATCGTCTCCTGAGCTTGAAGTATGTCCTAAAAGAGTGAATACAAACTGTAGCGCCAATCCCCAACCCCAAGATACAGGGTTTCAAGATTTAACCAAGGTTAGACTGAAGCACCTCCCCCCTTTGTGCACCAAGTCAATCCTAAAATTAATACAGGGGCTTAATCATGAGATCAAAGCAGCAGGGGAAAGGGCCATTGAACTGTCCTTCTGTGTTTGTATG